ACCTTGTCAGCTCCTGAGCGTTTTCCTTCTGGACGCGCTCGAGATCCCGTTTTTTGTCGCCTAGAAGCTTTTGAATCCTGTCGTTGAACGACTTGATCTGCGTGTCTTTCAGATCTCCGTCAAAACCTCGAAAGCCGTGCAGCTCTGCAGCTTCGTGAATCAGGTCGACACGCGAGGCAAGCTGACGTTCGTACTTGTCCTTATCCGACTCATGTTTGCCCTTGTCGGAAAGTCTGGCCGACAAGTCATTCCTTGATCTGCCTAGATCGTTCTGGAGTTGTGTGTACTGCGATCTGTTCTGGCGCTCTTCAGTTTGGAAGCGTGCCATGCGCTCCTCATACTGTGATAAATTGGTTTGCAGAGTCTCATCGTCTTCTTCGAGCTCCTCTAGAGTAGTCTGAAGATCCGAGATGGCGCTCTGTCGGAATTTGAACTGCTCCTTTTTGTATTTGAGGTCATTAACAATGTTCAAGAACTTGTTGGCCTCGAGCCGCTTCTGCTTGATCTGCGCTGAGAGCTCGGCCATCTCATCATTCATGCCGTTGCATGCTTCCCTTGATCCCTCAATCTCGGCTTGAAGCTCCATGGATCTCTTCTCGGCGCGGTCGCCTTTCTCCTTGTTGATCTTGTCCTGGCTCTCGTGTATTTTGAGGCGTGCAAGCTCCTCGCCTTGCTTCTTCCGGAGGACCTTGAGGTTGTCAATGGCTTTTGTGTACCGCATGGCTTCAAAGATTTGGTCAAATTGTTTCTTCAAGGCGCCGGGCTCGCTCATGGGCCATAGAGATTCGTCCTGATGGCAGAATATGACGTAGTCCAGAATGGCGGTCGAAACGCCGAGGAGAGCGGGGACGGCCTCGTCCATCTGCGCCACTCGCGTCGAGAGAACGGACCGTTCGCCATTGTTGTTCGTCGCTAGCGACCCCTCGAGGGTCTTGAGGGAGCGGGTGGTTTTCTTGATTGTCAATTGAAGACTTCGCGTAACGACATGCTTAACGCCGGTGGTCGAGGTGAATGCCAGCTTGACCTGCGCCAGGACCTCCTTCTCGCCGACGAGCTGGAAATGAGAGGATCAGCAGAGAAAGCTTGGTGGTACGAGGTGGTTCGCCGAACCGAAAACGCGGGGTAGGACGTACTTTAGGGTCGTGGACGAATGCACCGCCCTTGCTGTTGGGGGGCTGCTCGCCAGTGGTGGCGTATTTGAGGCATTCAATGATGGTCGTCTTTCCCGAACCGTTGTAACCGACAATGAGGGTCAGGGGCGTGAAGAATTGCATGGTCTCACGGCCACTGCCGGTCCCGAAGGACCGGATGCCCTGGACGGACAGCTTTTCGATCTTGGACATGGTCGACTACCACTGTGGTGTAGGGTAGAGATCCATAGAGGAGTAAAGGATGATGCGGTCTCCACAGAGGCGAATGCAAATGCCGGGAGTCCAGCAAGGGGGGTCTGTGGGGCTCGAAGAAACCGCGTGATAGTAGTAAAAAGCCTAAGTGAAGCGTCTGGGAATAGAGGCAGGCCGCACTTTGAGCATCAGACGCGGTGACATTCGACCGGCACGCGTTTGAGTGGGTTAGGCAGGGGTCAGTGGGGAGCGTCATCCCGTGACCTGGAGCTGCCT